TAAGAGTGGCTTCATCAATAATAATACCACTAATATGCATATCAATGCTATTGTATTGTGATTGGGCATCATCTAAGTTGTAGAAAAAGGGATTTTGAGAGAAACCAACCATTTTAAAAAAGTTCAAATATTAAAACCCTAAAAAAATAACTACTAAATTAATCAACAATTTTGATGTTGAGATTCTAATAAGATTACTAGATTCTTTCTTCACAACATATCAAGTGACATTATGAATCCACATAATTTTAAGGAAAAGAGAGGTGATATAATCATTTGGGTCAACTTTGTGCTTGTGTAAAGGATATTTATTTCAAAGAATAGAAAAAAAAAACAGAATTTTTCCTCAAGAGTGTGTTTTGAGTTGCATTGAAAATGGCTAAAGATTAAAAACCCTTAGGATCCTATAATATTAATTTATAAAATATCCTGAAATTTTTCTCAAATTTCTTACAACTTTTTGGATCATTCAATTTTTAAAATATCCCAAATTCCTATAATCCAATTTCTAAAATATCCCAAGTTGCGACAATCTTATTTCTAAAATACCCTCAAATATAATGTATTTTTAGGTAGTTGTCTTAGATCATGGAAAATCCAAGAATTCTCCGTCCCCAATGGGGAGGAAGTGCCCTACTCCACCATGGTGGGGAGGGATGAGGTAGGGGATTTTCTCTATAGGGTGGGGTGGGGTGGGGATGGAGAGGGGGTGCCCTACCTTGAAAGTTGAATCCATCATGTTGCCATTTCTAGTAAGTAAAACCATGTTCCTAAACCTAAAGGTACCCCCACCCCTTCTATCATTGGCTCTTTTTGTGTGTATAAGGTGGTATAGCAAGTCTCCCTACAATCGTTCAAAACTTCATATTCCATTTAAAAATAAATAAAATGAATTAAATATAATAAAAATCAACTTAATTAAAATCCACTTAGAAGTGACTACAACTAATGAAAATTACTAAAGCTAATAAAAAGATTAAAAAAATCATATTTCTATTCAACAATTATTTAAAAATCATAAAAATTAAATTATTAGAATATAGTAATTCATGAATTAAAATTACAATACATTCAACTTAACTAAAAATAATTAATAAAAATTAATAATATTAACCCATTTGGAATCCATACAAAAATAACAAAAATAATAATGGCTCAATTGGAAATGTCACTAGGCTTGTTTTACTTAGGGATGACAATTTATGACTGAACTTAGCTTGGCTTGCAAATTTTTCAACAACCAAAATGGTAGATCCTTTTTTGCCTATTTAAATCATAAGTAATAACTAATATAACTTAAATAATAAAAAAATGATTTTAAAAATAGAAATTATTAATTAATAAAAATTACTAAAAACAAGAAAGAACTAATAATAAAAATAGAAATAATAGAAAACTTTATTTAAAAATGTAAAATAAAAGAAATAACATTATAAATAGTAAAAAACTAAATAATAAATAATTACAAAAATAACTTTGTAAATAATAAAGAATAAATAATTATTATGTAAGTTTTGTTTATATAAATTAATAAATAATAATAAGTAATAACTAATAATACATTAAAAACACAAATATTATCTATAAATAGTAAATCATAAAAATAAAAATAAAAATAAAAATATTATTTAAAAATAATAAATAATTTAAAATAATATTTATTAAAAAAGCTTTGTTAATATTAAAAAATAAATAATGAATATTAATTTTAATTTAAAATACATAATTATTGACTAATGCTAATTTCTGATTTCTTGCATTATTTTTTCCAGGGGCAAGTGACCTAAGCTTTACATGTCCTTTTAATCCCTTCTATCATCATGTATTGGAAATCAGGTTTCCAATATATAAATATAAATATAAAATATTCAATTTATTAATAAAAACTTCCTAAAATTGTATATAAAATAATAATATTCAAGTGCACTAGCATTTTAATGGGATTATGTAAGTTTTAACATTCAAATTCGGGATACGTGTAAGGGATGTTGAATTGGGTTTCAATGTTCAAAAAAAAAAAATTATAGGCTGATATTAAGGTGCGGGTTGGGCTTGTGCTTAGTCGACAAATAAATTTGAGTAAACTTCATAAACTCTCCTTACTGTTTAGTTAATTGACTAAGTGTACCTTTAGTCTTTGAAAATTGATTAACACTACCCTTGCTGTTTCTGACAATTGACTAATCCTTCTTGGTCATTAATGCAACGAAGATATAAAAAAACTATTTTACCCTACTATTCGAATCTCTCCATCTTCCTCTCATTCTGTTTGCCAGAACTGTTGGAACTGCAAATGATCCCGAAAACCTCCAACAAATTACTGAGGACTCCTCAAAGCACAAGTATTTTTCTCTCTTTCTCTCTCTCCTCTTACACTTCTTCTGTTTCACCACCACTGCAAGTTGCAGTGGCGGATTTGGTACTCTCTAACCACCTCTCGTCTCCCTATCTCTCATTCTCTCTCTCCTCTCGCTATTTCTCTCTCCTCTCTTTTTCTCTCTCCCCTCCTCTTTCACTATCTCTGTTCCGCCACCACCGCTGCAGGTTGCAGCGACGGATTTGGTACTCTCTTGCCACCTCTCGTCCCTATTTCTCATTCTCTCTCTTCTCGCTATTTCTCTCTCCCCTCCTCTTTCACTCTCTGTTTCGCCACCGCTGCTGCAACTTGCAGGGGCAGATTTGGTACTCTCTCGTCCCTATCTCTCATTCTCTCTCTTTTTGCTAATTTTCTCTCCTCTCTTTTTCTCTCTCCCCTCCTCTTTCACTCTCTGTTCCGCCACTGCCTTTGCAACTTGATGGATTTGGTACTCTCTCGCCACCCTCATCCCTATCTCTCATTCTCTCTCTTCTCGCTATTTCTCTCTGCTCTCTTTTTCTCTCTCCCCTCCTCTTTCACTTTCTGTTCCACCACCGCCGCTGCAACTTGTTGCGACAGATTTGGTACTATCTCGCCACCTCGCATCTCCCTCTCGTCTCCCTATCAGAAGGTGTGCTGCCAAATCAGAAGCATCGATCTTGGAAGCTGCCTCGACAATAGTAACCTTGGGTTTCTTGGGCTTTTTTTTTTTACTTCGGCTTCTTCACTTCGTTGGCCTCATTCTCACCACCACCAGCAACCTCGTCGTCGCTGTCACTGCCATCATCATCAGAATGGTGTTTCGGTTTGGGAATGAGCTCAGAAAGAGCCACAAGAGCGGCCTTCTTCTAAGCCTTGACACGGCGGCAGCGCTCCTTGGATTGTTCTTCGAGAGACTGAAAAATGTTGGGGTTGTCGCCGCCGCCGCCGCCGACTACGTTGGGGCGGAATTTTCTGGGATCGCCGACAAAGTCAAAGGGTTTTTTCTTTCGCTGGCGTAGGTAACCTTCTGCCAGCCATGGTCTTTAATGGTGGAAAAAACATTGTTTAAATTGTTCTCATCGTCTTTGTGGAGAGTTGGTTCGATGGCCGGTGCGGTTTTTTCATCCATGATTCTCTATCCTCTGGTTCTTCTCTCTTGAATTTCGAGTTTGTTTCAGCTGCAAAGATGGGCAGAAACTACTCCAACAACATCTAGAGAGGGGTATTTTTAGGAATGGAGGTGGGAAGGATGTTTTTGGATTTTTTTATCAATATATTAGTCACATGATATTATATGTAAAAGAAAGTTAACCTTAGTCAATTCTTAGAAACAATATGGGTAGTGTTAGTCAATTTTCAAACAATAAGGGTACACTTAGTCAATTAGCTAAACCATAAGGGTGGTTTAAGAAATTTATTTGTTTGTAGTACGACCTCAATTTTTTTTTCATGTTTCATTATATTTCATTTAAAGGAGCGACGATATCATCTTGCTTCCTAATTTTTTTTTGTTAATTAGTGTAAGAGATGATAATAACGGGATTCGAAACTTCGTCACCCCTCAAACAATTCATCCAACACACCAATTGGGTTACCCCTCACTTGGTTCCTACTTCCTATTCATTGTGGCTGGGTTTGAAAACGATGCAAATAAGTGTGAATGCAAATATGTAGAGTGTAAAACGGTTCATATAAATTGTAAAATTGGGTTAATTTTGCACCAACAAATTTACCTTCTTACCAAACAGACTTTTAGCTGTAATGGATGCAAACATGAATTCCAATAAAGATTATGGTTTTTTATTAAAAGCCCACTTGAATGCAAATTTACTTCTTTTTTATTGATGTACTTTTACGTCTTATTATCAATGTAAATATGCATTGATTTGTCATTTGTCAATGCATAAATGTAATGTTGCCAAATACAGACAAAAGTGAACCAGAATGCAAATTTACCCTGAATTGGGATTTACACTTAGACTTGGCAATTGGGTTGGGCAGGTCGGGTTTGGGTTGGGTCAAGACACTTCATGTTGAATCGGGTCAGGTTGAATTTCAGATGCTAGGTCCTAACCCTAAATGTTCGGGTTGGTGTTGACCCATGGGTCAATTCGGGTCATCTAAAAAAATAACTAAAATTTAAAAAGCATAAAGAAAAAATATATGAAAATGTCAAAATTAAAGGAATTAACCTTAAAATTCCAAATATAAAATAAATACTTGAGCATTTAACAATTTAAAGAGTAAAGACTAAATAGAAAAAATTAAAGAGTGGAAATTTCTAACAATGCATAAATAATCCCAATTAGACCCAACAATCGGGTAAGCGGGTTGGCCCATGATCCAATCCAACCCAATTTTTTTTCGGATCGGGTCGGGTCATTCTCCCATTCATGTAGCAGAATATGAGACCTTATTTTTTTTCGAATTGGGTTGGGTCAACTTTTTGCGAGGCCTATTTACACTCCATTTGCGTTGTTTCCAAACGCAGCCTGTCAAACAAATATCCCTATGCCTACGGTCCCATGAATTTACACCGGTGCAAATAAAATTCGCACCGTAAACAAACTGACTGCAAACAACCTGACGTTGGAATTTGGTGCGTGTACATGTAACCTATTCAAATGCCAACGGCTATAACTGTAAACAAACCTACCTTGCAATGGCGCCGTTTTCTCCCAGACCCTCAAATCTTTCTATCATCACCACTCTCCTTAAAGAGTGCATCGATACTGGTTCACTTTGGAAGGGGACGATTCTCCATTCCCACCTCCTAAAATCCGGATTCCTCTCCCAGGTCTTCATCTCGAACCGTTTACTCCAAATCTACTACAAGTGCGATGTAGTTTCTGATGCTCGAAAGCTCTTTGATGAAATGCCTGAAAGAGATTCCATCACTTGGAACATCATGATTGCTAGCTCCGTAAAATCAAAATGTATGGAAGATGCTAGGCTGCTCTTCAATGCGATTCCTCAGAAGACTGAGATCTCATGGAACACCATCATCATGGGATATGTTCAAGAGGGGAATTGCTCAGAAGTTCTCGATTTGTTTGTCCAGATGCTTCGGCAGGGATGGTCGCCCACCCATTTTTCTGTGCCTAGCGTTCTTCAGGCGTGCGCTGCTTCGTCGTGGTTGAGTCGTGGGAAGCAGTTGCATTGTCTGATTTATCGATTTGGATTGGAAGGAAACGTTTTTGTGTGCACGTCTCTTGTTGACATGTATTGTAAGTGTGGGGAACTCGAGTATGCTCGTCGTTGCTTTGATAGGATGGCAGATCGGAACATAATTTCGTGGAATGCAATTCTTACTGGGTACTCTCAGAATTCCCTGAGCGAGGATTGTTTTCAGACATTCATCGAATTGCTGAATTCTGGGCTCAGACCTGATCACATCACTTTTGCTGTGGTTCTTAGCTCAACTGCTGCAGTCGCTAATTTGGTGCAGAGGAAACAATTACATGGAATTATTGTCAAGACCAGATTCGGGTTGGATGTATTTGTTCAGACAGCTTTAATAAATGCGTATGCCAAGTCTGGAAGTGTAGATGATGCTCGTCTGGTTTTTAATTCAATGACAGAAAGGAACAGGGTTACTTGGAGTTCAATGATCATTGGTTATGCACAGAATGGACGTGGTAGGGAAGCTATTCTTCTATTTGAGGACATGCTGAATTTTGGAATCAAACCAGATTCAATTACTTTTGTGGGTGTTCTCATGGCTTGCAGCCACTCAGGGCTGGTTGATGAGGGGCGACACTATTTCAATTCCATGAAAGGTCACGGGGTTGAGCCAGATAGAACCCATTACACATCAATGGTTGATCTTCTTGGACGTGCAGGATATTTGAAGGAGGCTAAAGAATTGGTCAATAGTATGCAAGTAAAACCGGATGCTGCAATTTGGAATGCCTTACTTGGGGCTTGTAGGGTCCATCGGAATTTGGAATTAGGGAAAATTGCAGCTTCGAGGGTTTTTGAGTTAGAACCTAATAATGCTTCAGCTCATATGCTGCTATGTCACATCTTCACTGAGAGCGGTCAGTGGGATGAAGTGGCAAAACTGAGAGTGAAGATGAAGAGTCTAGGGATTAAGAAAGATCCTGGTTGTAGTTGGATTGAACTAGATAATGAAATTCATACTTTTGTAGCCGATGATGAATCCCATCCACAGACAAAGGAACTTTATCTTGCATTAAGGGAATTGAATAAACAAATAGAGGACATGGGCTATAAATACTATCCAAATCCTCTCTTTGAAGAGGGAAGACAGTCATATCACAGTGAGAAGCTGGCAATTGCCTTTGGACTTATCAGCACACCTTCTTGGATGGCAATCAGGATCATGAAGAACCTAAGGATTTGTGGGGATTGTCACACCACCATAAAATTTATTTCACAAATCACAGGACGTGAGATTATTGTCAGAGATGTTTGTCGTTTTCATCATTTTAGTGATGGTAAGTGTTCTTGTGGTGACTATTGGTAGTACATGCTGTATTGGGATCCGCGAGTTCCATGATAGAAGCCTCATTGAATTTTCAGGAAATGTAATATTTATTCTTGACAGATATGCAATAACATGACATTTTTTTTTTGTATTAGTATTCTATTGAATGGAAAATCCTGGGTTTAGGCAGACTTTAACCATATATATGAAGAAATAACAATTACAGGTGGGATATTTATACAAACCTCGGCATCCTCAATTACAAGGATTCAGGAGAGAATGGAGTGATGAAGGAACACTTCCTTAAATGGATACCTTTTCCATCTAACCAACTTGGTGGTTTAACTTGTAGACATATATATGGTACCTTCAGATCCTTATTCACCATTCTTTAGAAATTTCCAATGCTGAAGTAGCTCTCATGGTCCTGAACAAACACCAAATGATTTTACAACCTCCAGAAATGGCTATAATAGGACATCCATCATGGGTTCAACCATTCAATCTATAGCCATCTAACCCTTTATAAAAGGTAGTTCAGGAAAACAGTAACCAGAATACTGGATAGGGGGCCTGCTAAGAGCACCAAATGGAATCCACGAAGTGGTATTAAGTTGAGGCCCCATGAATAAATTTTATTGCTATTGCAGTGGAGATATCTTAAGGGCCTTTTGAGAGTCTTTTATCTTTTATCTTGCAATTAAGGAAAGAATCTGCAATACTAAGGGATACTTGTCCAAGAATTGTTAAGTTATGCTTACCCAGAATTTTAAGGCTGCATTTTTAGTCCTGTCCATATTCAAGTTCAAGTTGGTGGTAAGAGATCATTTGAGACATTCAATTTCTAATGCTCAAGCTCTGAGTGAGCATTAGAGAGTAGATTAAGATGGTTTGGTCACATACAGAGAAGACTATCCACAGCTTGTGTAAGAAGAAGTGATCTATTGTAAGTTGAAGGGGCTAGAAGAGCTATGTTGTGGACACATTTATTGGGAAGAAGTACCACCGCCGGCAGCAGCAGTGATGTGGTGTCCTCATCGGATTATCTAGTTAGTCACAGTTCACCTTATCTTATCTTATCTGTTTTCTTATCTTATTCTTATCTTATTTGTTCCAGTATGGATTAGTAGAGAGTCTTATCTATCTTACGGAATCTTATCCTTCTTGAGTAGGGAGTCTTATCTATCTTATCTGTAAGCAGTATAGTTTAACAGGGAGTCTTCCTACAAAGAGGACTCTTACCCCTTGTAATCTCCTATTTAAGGAGCTGAGATTATTGAATAAAGGCATCGAATTTCAGTCAAGAAAGAGAGTAAAAGGAGAGTTAGGTGATCTCTTGGACAAATCACCCTTAGGATGCCAAGATAGGTTCTGCAAGAAAGGAAAGGAACAAGGGAAAATAGGAGGTTTTCCCCGTGGACCGACCCGTGACGAGATCCTATTCCCGGGTCCATAACAATTTGGTATCAGAGCCAAACGTCATGGGCGATCTGGAGCAGTTGTCGTCCAGGGTCCACGAACTGGAGCACAGGCTCATGGAGAACAACGCAGAGGTACGTGAAGTGAAGGACGATGTCTGAGAGCTACGACGTTTGCTGGAGTTGTATTTCTCTAACAAGGAGAAGAGTTCCGAAGGGACTGCAACCACCAACAACCGCCGACCAGATTTGACGGAGTCGTCCGGCGAGCAACAGATCGTCGCCCCGGCAGCCGCAGTTGTTCCCAAGTACAACAGACTGGAGTTCCCTTCTTACAATGGCATCGAAGATCCGCTGGGGTGGCTATACCATTGTGAACAGTTCTTTCGCAATCAGCGTACGAAAGACAGAGATAAGGTCAGCCTGGCCGTATTCCATCTAACGGAGGAGGCACAACTCTGGTTCTACCGATTGGAGCAGGAGGAACCCGGGCTCAGTTGGGGCCAATTCAAATCCTACTACCTCCTCAGGTTTGGGCCCCCATTGACGAGCAACCTGCTAGGTGAATTGATCAACCTCAAGCAGACAGGAACTGTGGCTGAGTACCAGCGCCAATTTCAGACCCTCCTTGCCAAAGCAGCCTCGGTATGACCGGATCAATAAGTAGACATGTTCACCGCAGGATTAGCAGAACCCTTGAGGGTGGATGTGGAGATGCAACACCCTCCAAACCTGGTCACAACCATGAACCTAGCTCGCGCCTTCAAACGTAAGCTACAGCTCAGCCGCAGGACCTTCAGTATGGGTCGATCGCAGACATCATGGACACCCCCGAAGTCAACCGGGGTGGTCCCTTCTTCGGCAACCAGCAGGGAACAGAAACTTCACACAGGTAACGTTCCCAAGACGACATCAAGCATGGGAAGCAGGATGGCAGCACCACCCATTAAACGTTTGTCCAGAGCCGAGATGGCAGATCGCTGGGAAAGGGGACAGTGCTTCAACTGCAATGATCTATATTTGGCGGGGCACAGATGCAAGAGGCTATTCTGCCTTCTGGTGGACGAACAAGAGGAAGACAAGGATGGGCCCGCAATGTTAGAATCTGAGATCTCCCTCCATGTGATCACCGGGATAAAGACCTCTCAAACTATGCAATTGCGGGCGCAGGTGGCAGGGAAACCAGCACGTATCCTCGTTGATTCGGGAAGCACACACAATTTTGTAAGTGAGCAAGCTGCCCTCCAGTTGGAATTACCTATGGAAATCAGACCACAACTGCAGGTAGCCGTAGCAAACGGAGAGAGGGTTCATAGTCCCAGAATCTGTAAGAACATCCGAATATAGGTCGAATCCAAATCCTTCTCTACTGATTTATTTGTGCAATCCCTGGATGAATTTGATATAGTTCTTGGAGTTAAATGGTTGATCACCCTAGGCCCAATCCTATGGGATTTCAGCGCCCTAACAATGACATTCCGCTTGAATGGAAAACAAGTAACTTGGTAGGGAACCAGAGTAAAGGTAAAAAAACCGTAGGTGCATGCACCTCAGGGCGAAACAGTACACACAACAGATATGGAAAGACTCCTCACCGATTTCTTAGATGTATTCCAAGAACCCAAGGGACTTCCACCCTCCCGAGCTTGCAACCATCGGATCCCTCTGGTGACGGGTTCAGAACCAGTCACCGTCTGGCCTTATTGCTACCCACATCTGCAAAAGGACGAGATAGAGAAGCAGTGTATGGACATGATGAAACAGGGAATCATCCGTCTTAGCCGTTCTCCCTTCTCCTCGCCGGTTCTGTTGGTGCCAAAGCGAGACGGTACTTGGAGATTTTGTGTGGACTATAGAGAGCTCAATAACTGGACTGTCAAGGATAAATTCCCTATCCCCATTGTGGACGAGTTGTTGGATGAACTCCATGGAGCCCAGTACTTCTCAAAATTAGACCTCAGGTCGGGATATTTTCAGGTCCGGATGGCTCCCGAGGATGTAGAGAAAACTGCCTTCAGAACGCATCATGGTCACTTTGAATTTCTAGTTATGCCGTTCGGTCTCACCAGCACCCCATCTACATTCCAGTCTCTGATGAACGAGGTATTTCAGTCCCACCTTCGCAGATTTGTCTTAGTGTTCTTTGACGATATCCTAGTTTACAGTAAATCATGGATATAACACGTGCATCATCTACGGACTGTTTTTGAACTCCTGCGCCAACACAAGCTCTTCCTTAAGCGGTCCAAATGCTCTTTTGGGGAGCACCAGGTTCTTTACTTAGGACATATAATCAGTGGGCAAGGTGTCATGGTGGATGGTTCCAAAATTCAAGCAATCAAGGAATGGCCCAAACCTCAATCCGCCAAGGCTCTCTGCGGATTCCTAGGTCTGACAGGATACTACCGCAAGTTTGTACAAAATTATGGACTATTGGCGGCCCCATTAACCAATATGCTAAAGAAAAGTGCCTTCCATTGGGACGACGCAGCTGATGTAGCCTTTGCAAATTTAAGGGATGCCCTCTTCTCTACACCAGTTCTGCAGTTGCCGAATTTTGACCTCGAATTTACAGTCGAATGCGATGCATTAGGTATAGGTGTTGGAGCCATATTGCAGCAACAAGGACACCCGATTGTCTTATTTAGCCACAAACTGACTGACCGACATCTAAAATTACCCGCTCACGAGTGCGAACTGATTGGGTTAGCTAGAGCAGTGCAACACTGGAGACCATACTTGTGGGGAAGGTCTTTCGTTGTCAAGACTGATCACTACAGCCTTAAGTATTTGTTAGAGCAGCGGCTTACCACTTCGCCTCAGCAACATTGGGTCAGCAAACTGCTTGGTTTTGATTTCCGGGTGGACTACAAGGCGGGATCCTTAAATCGTGCCGCAGATGCCTTGTCTAGACGAGACGAAGATACTATGCTCCTTTGTGCGATTTCACATCCTCGAGTCACCCTGTTAGAAGACATTAGGAACGCGCTGCCGCAATCACCAGAGTGGACGAACCTTGTTAAGAAAATACAGTCTGGGACAACCGACTCAAATTGGACCATTCACGACGAGCTGGTGCTATACAAAGGACGAATATACCTTCCAGCCGATTCTTCTTTAATTCCCTCCGTCATCTCCAATATACATAACTCCACCCATGAAGGCACTCAGAAGACACTGCATTGCGTCCGAGCTGATTTCCATTGGCCAGGTATGAAAACTTCTATTCGGGACTTCATCAATAATTGCTCCACGTGCCAACAACATAAATGGGAAAACCTACACCCGGCTGGCCTTCTTCAGCCCCTCTCAATTCCAACACAAATCTGGGCTGATATCTCCATGGATTTCACTGAGGGCCTACCCAAGGTTGGCAGGAAATCTGTTCTATTCGTGGTGGTGGATCGCTTTTCTAAGTATGCCCATTTCATCCCTCTGTCACATCCGTACAGTGCTGCTTCAGTTGCCCACGTTTTCTTTACGCATGTTTTCCATTTACATGGGTTACCGGAATCCATCATCAGCGACAGGGACTCAGTTTTTACTAGTGCCTTATGGAAGGAACTGTTTCGGTTGCATGGTATGACCTTAGTTTTTTCCTCCGCTTACCATCCTCAGACA